GTGTTCATAGAGGCGTGTTCAGCTATCTAGTGGTTTAACGAAGTGTCAGTATTCAAAACTAGTCAGTTTTGCTGGGCACAGAGGAAGCTCTCAGCAGCTCCTCTCAGAAAAAATTACTTAAGTGGATGGCTGTAATGCAAAACCGGCACATTGGCACCTGCTCCCCCACCAAGTTGCCATCTTGGAAGAGCTGGAGGTATAGTTTCCTCCACAGAGGACAAAGGAGCCCTGTTTTCCTCTGAGAAAGTGTCTTCTGGTACCTGTTGGGTTTCTGTGATTTGAATACACGCAGTCTGACATGCCACTTGGGCAGTGTTACTGACCCATGGTCTACATTGAGTCACTGCTGCACTGGCTGAGATGCTGCAATTGATTCAGGTCAATTCAGCTTTTGGGACTGGAAGCCATTTTTAAGACCTCAGCTGCTACTAGGTTCCCTGCCCTTTCTTCAGTGCTGAGGCTCAGAGCAAGGGTGAATGCACGGTCACAGGGTCACATCACCTTCCAGCGCACCAGCTGAGACCTACCAGAGCACACCTTCATGTCCTGAAGCAAAGGTGCTGTACCCCTCCATTGGGGTCACTTGCCATTCACTGGGTGGCTGGAGGACATGTGCAGACAGCTCCCTTGGGAGCAGCTCCTCAGCTGTAACTCTGCAGCCCAGCATACAGATGGTGACTTGTTTGTCAAGCCATGCCATTTGTGAAACTGTAGTCTGCACCTTAGATAGTGTAGGGGATCTTTGTCCATCTCATTTTCACATATGGTCAGCATGCATATGGTTTAGGCAAGTTTTGAAATACACAGAACTTTAAAAATATTTTTCTTGTACCCATGAAATATCTCACCTGCCTTTTGACAGAGTTATAGAAGCTTCAAAGCAACCATATAATGATATGAAATAGTTTTCTTTTAATAACATCTAGTGGTCCCAGTTCTTATTTATGTTTCCTGGATTTGTAACTCCAACAACAGTATTTTAAAAAGTCAGATAAAGTGGTCTCATCTATCGGTTATATTTTTTGATGCTTCAGAAGACCTGTTTAGTTTTTATGTTTGAAGCCAGCAAGCTGTTTTAGAACCTGATGAAAAACATTGAGAAGTAATCATAAAGCAAGGCTTTGGGAAATCACAGGAAGCAGAGTTCCTGGTAAATATATTAGATCTGTAGTACAATTTAAGGACAGTACTTTTAAGGAGAATGTGTTTTGCAGAAATAACATTTGTCATGAAGTTATTCTTTGCAGGTAAGCACCCTTCCTTTGGTGCATTGCAAGAACTGCTGGGCATGTAAATAATATCAGGAATGTCCCTGGGAGCAGGGCCTAATGTGGAACAAATGCTTCTCTGGTGCTTCTGCTCCCGGAGAACTCTTCCTTTGTGCTTCATATAGCAGTCCAAGCTGATGGCTCAGATATTTTTAAGAAAGCTTTTTTTGCCATCTTCTGTCACCACATCTTTACACACTTCAAATTGTGAGCAATTATTTCGTCCTTTCAGTCCAGCTGTTTCCTAGGCATTGCCAGTTGAAATGGTTTTCCTGTACTCATTGGTTCAGTAGCTTTGGTGAATTGGTTCAGTGACAAATGCCTTTCAAAGTTGTCCCTCAGACCCGCAGAACAGTGCTCTGATGTGACAGGTAATCCCAGTGCCTTTGAAACAGGATCTCTCAATATAACTGCATTTTATTATTCACACTTGGGCAATGGTGATCTTTATTTTACCTTCTTGACAGTCTGTGTGCAAAAGAATATGTATGTGTGTGTAATTTAATGAACGAGTCTGTTGCCCTTTTCACCTCGCTACTTCCAATCCTAAAAACAAAAAGGAGAAAGAAACAATCTATTTCTTTGAAGCAATTTTGATTAATGCATTGCTTCAAAATTCTGGCATTAGGAAATAGAAGAAACCTATTTTGGATAACTGAATTTTTCTGGAAGTCCTGCTTTTAAAAGTGGGTTTATATCTTTGCCTGGGTTAAGTGATATAGCAAATGCTTTTGATATAATATTTGTGTTTCATCTGAGGGCTGTAAATATTTCTTTTTAGATCTGCCTCTGATAACCCTGTGTCTAGCAGAAATTCTCCCTCTGACTGAAGCATATCCATCATTCTTCAGAGTATCCATCATTGCACATTCTGATTCAATAAGAGATTATATCTTATTATCTTTCCAGTGAGTCACCATATTTATGGATTTAACTGGTATTGTCCAGATGTATCATCTTTGGTTCAGTGTTTTGGGTAGTGTGGGACTTACTCCCCATACACCACATACTGGAGGTTGCTGTTAGGTGGTGCTGAGCCATCCCAGGGCCCACTTTTATCTATGAGTGGTATCAACAGATAACAATGGAGTTTTTGTTAGTGCAGAGTATATATATTCAGGTTTTTTGAAATGAAATGTTAAGGAAAACTTCTGTTTATCTTGTAATGCTGAAAAGTCTAATCTGATTTGGTAGTTAGGGCTTTTCACATAGTTTCCTTTTCACAGAGGACTGCACACATATTTACTGTAGTTTGGTTATTCAGCTAGCTTTCCATAAATATTCACTGATTTTATGTGGATATATCAACTCTTCTAAGAATTGAATGGCATGAGACATATTCCTATTGAAACTTCAGGAAGTCTTAATTGTGGTGGATTATGTGACTCTTGACAAGTTTTAGGCTTTTTTTTTTTTATGTGATGCTTCATACAGCCTTGCATGTTGTTCAGACATCTGTTTTAACTCTCTGTGCATAATTAGTTGAAAATTGGTTTGGTTTTCTGCTTTTTTGTAATTACAGTAATTATACCTTCTAACCTTGTTAAAACTCCTAAAACAAACACTGCAAATGAAAACACAGGAAGAATGCAGAACCAGGTGTGCTTTTTTAATGATGACAAATACAGGACAGATTTCACAAGGTTAGAGGTCAGACAAGACATCTTTTCTTATTTGTGCATTTTCAGAAAATAATTTTAGAAAATAATTGAGAAGATATGTTTGCAAATAGAGCAGCTGACATGAGGAACTGTGCTTCTGTGGCAGTAGTAGTTGCCAGTAAGGTAATAAGAGGCAGGTTAATTACAGAATTTTAACAGTTTATATATGTTTAAAAGATGCAACCACTAGTCAGAGTAATATTTTTCTATTGCTTATTGCTAGTGGGATATAGACAGCTTTAACCTGCATGCCAAGGACAACCCTTTCATAGCAGTATACAAGTAAATTAATTTTTAGATCATGCTGTTTCCTGGAGTACTTGAAACACATTGTTAGCAATATTTAATAAGTGAAAAGTCTTTCATTGCTCGGAGCATGGGCTGGGTTTGGTTTCTGGCTGCTCTGCTGCTCAAAGCATTTTTCTTGGGGCTATCCAATTACAGCAATCTGTTAACCTCTTTGGAGAAGAAAACTGAAATCCATGTCCAGAGAGATGAATGAGATGGACCTGGGGGCAGACAGCTCACCGAATAGGCTTTTGATTAAAAAATTACCTTGTTCTTAAGTACTGATTGGGGAATTTCTGAGAAGCAGATGAGAACCTGATATAGAAAAATTCTTGCATTTCCTGCCAGAGAAGATTGTTCGTGCAGGCTGCACATGGCCTAAATAACCAGCTTTTAGAAAATCATCTTTGCAAGAGTCAATAATTTCAGTGCATTTTTGAGACACAGTTGCTAATTTTCTCAACAAATGTTCCTGATAGCTCCTTCATGCAGGTATCAGCCAAGCAAAGAAGTAAAGTAATTCTCATGGAAGAAAAAATCCTTATTCTCAAGCAGCAAAGGCATGATCCGGATAATTTAATAATTTTTTTAGTTTTTCCACGTTTGGAGTCCCTTTACATAATGCCTTAGACTTGCCAAATTAAAGGGAGTGAGAACTTTAATGAGGAAGAGCATCAGACAGAAATTCCCCAAGTCAGTTCCAGGAGAATGTTCTGGGCACCCAGAGGAGGGGGGACATGCTTAGTGAAGTTACTGGAGTGTTTTGGGGAGGGGGCTGGCTCAGCAGGCAGAGGGAGGTGTTATTTTAAAGTTCAGTAGGCAGATGCAGTGCAGAGGAGAACATCTCTCCAAACTCTTAGGCACTCACAGGTCACTTAAATGGGAGATGTATTTGCACTCCAACATACTTTGCATACTTTGCATACTTTGAAAATCCAGTCTCAGAGGAATCCTTCCAGTGCCAAATCCTCTGACCCAGTGTGGCCTTATCTGTCCCTTTTTTCTGAATTTTGGTTGTTGACTTCCTATATTCTGGGCATGTATGACTAATTTTAAAAAGCTGTCCAGTGGCATCACTGTGTGTTTGTGATGTATCTAATACTCAAGGATCACACATGTCCAGTGGGGTCAGAGCTCATTTGATCTGTGTCTTGCAAAGTTCTTGACTCTTTCTGAATAGAGACTGGTAAATCTGAGTTCTCCAGTTTTATTATAGTATCCAAGCCACACTATTATGTCCCTTCCTTAAAGCTGGAATTGGTTTTGAAACAAGTTTTTTACGTTCTGGTGGGATTTCTGCAGATCCCATCAAGTTACCAATCAGTCATTCCCAGGAAGGAGTGAGAGCATGTGTGGGGAAGAGTTGTCAGCTATGTGCCATTTCACTTGCAGATCCCTGTGGTGGTCCTGGCTGCTTGGTGTGACTTGTCTGCTGTGTCACCCTTCTGATTCTGAAACATACTGACTGGCTGGCTTGGCATGTTTCTTTGCACTGCCTTTGTATTCCTGGATAAAATTTCTTGCAAATGTAGTGGCTCCTTTTCCTCTGCCTTGTTGATTTCCAGTAGGTGTGAGGCTGTGGTGCTTGTTGTCAAGATTTTTTAAGGGGTTTTCAGCCTTCCTGAGAGGCAGTTGAAGTTGGTAGCTTGTTGAGTTAGAGTATTCTCTGTCAAAGAAATCATGATTGTCAGAACAGAAAGTGTTCCTTCACAGGTAAGTTAAAAAAAATAGAAGTCCATATTAATACATATAACTACAAAGTATCCATTACCTTTCTTCATTTCTTTTCTGCTGTGTAAAGGAAGGACCTTCAAGGTTGTGTATCATTTGTCTATTTTTGCCTTTGTGTTTCATTTGTCTGTTTTTGCTCTGTCTATCTGAATCTTGTATCCTGCTAATTAAATGTAAACCTCTTTGCAGTCATTTCAGTGGGTTTTAATCTACTCTGCTGGTGTCTTTGTGTACTGTTTGTGTTCCCAGTGTGACTGCAAGGAGGTAACATTTCTGAGTCGTTTGTGGGCTTGTTTGCTTATCATGCTACCGGGTCCACCCACTGAATTTTTGAGTATAGTATTGACAGTGGTCTCAAAGGCCGGATCTTTTTACCCTGGAATGTTAGAAAAGGGTAAAAGGTATATCTTGTAATCTCCTAAATTCTATAAGTAAAACAGAGAGACTGTCCACTGATGTAAGAGGTCCATCATGCTGTTCCATCTTACACCTAGCAAGCCCCATGGGATGTAAAACAGCACAATTACTGCCTGGCTTTTGTCTGTTCTTGAGAGGAAAGTCTGATAGCCAGCATGCCAGAAAGCATTGGAGCTGCCTTTAATGAGTATGAATAACAGTAAAGATACAACAACATACGGCTCAGCAGTCCTGTGCAGCTGAAGCTCACAGCTCTGCTTCTTCACTGCTTCTGTTTGTGCTGCCTTGGCTGGGAAATCACTTCTTCCTCTTCCATGCAGACCTGCAGCTAAGGAATGACTCATCCCTTTCTTGCACTGACATTGACCTCAGCAGTTCCTCCTTTTCTGTGTGAGAGCAAATGAGAGGAGAATCAAGCCTGCAATCCCGAAAAGAAGAATTGCTTAAATTCGATCTCATGAATAAGTACTAAATCCTAATTTCATACTATTTCTGGTCTTCAGATGGAGACAGCAATATATTAGGAATTAAATAATAGTTTTGAAGCAGGATTGAAAATGCAGCATCTGCAGTTGCTCCATTATGACCTTATCTGTGTAACTGCCCCCAGTGACGGGTCCTCAGCAAGGACACCAGGCTTGATGTTGGCTGCTTCTGCCATCCAGCATTCTGGTTTTTTACTTTCTTCTAAAACAGATCAGTAGGATAGGTTCTTATCAAGAGATTATGTGCACTGAGTGGTGACATACATTTCTGTTGAGTTACTGTAATGCTGCCCTGTTTTACAACTCAAGAGTTGCATTTTAGGTGACTCTAGCACTTGTGCCCTAAAGCTTGTTGTTAGATATTAAGTCCCTAGTAAAAGTCTTCTGACATCACTTTGAGATGCTGGGGTCCAGCTTCCTGAGCTGGAGCAATGTTAGCATGGTTTGGTCAGGTATTAATGTCTTCCTCTCAGAAAAGGCAGGTTTGATTTATGCAGTGTCATTTCAGTGAAGTCGTGTTCAAAACTCAGACACATACAGTGTTAGTGCCTGGTGTTTGACACTTTGGAAGAAGATGTTTTCATGTTAGTAATTCTGAGTAGGGAAAGATAAGATCCTTGAGAAACTGCTTCCAAATTGTGAGGTAGACTTTCTACTGGCCAAAAGTTAATACATTCAAAATGAGAAATTATTTGTTAGTTATACATCCTGTTGCTGTTACTAAGGTACGTAATAATTACTGTCTGAACTCCCTTTGGACTAATAGCAATGCTGTTCACAGCAAGAGTATTAAAACTTAGTGGCTTAACTAGAAAAAAAAAAAGTGAAGTTTAGCTTTACGAGGTTAGATTGTAGTAGTGAAGCATTTTTTAAAAAAACTGAGAAAGTAAGATCAAGCTTTTCTCAGCTGCCCCCTCCACTGAAACACTTACTGTCTCTAAGAGGAAGGTGCTGTAGGGGCTCTGTAAGAAATTATTTGTTGCCCAGTGCTAATACCTGAGCTGTTGTTTCTTGGGTTTTTGTTTTGTGTCTGGTTTTTGTCAGGTCTTCTTGATCAAACTATGTCTATCTAAACTTGCATTTAGGAGAGAGTGAAAACCAGCTTGTTTTTATGGTAATGAGATGTCCCATGTTTTCTTTACATTTGCAGTGTGTCCATGTTCAGGTCAATACCTTAACTGCCTGTCTCAATACCTTAACCACTGTGTGCTGTTTGCCAGGGACAAAGACCAGCTGGAGTGAGAAATTTGCCAAAAATTGCAGCCCAGTGGTGGGAAAGGACTTGAAAACAAAACTAGATCATGAGGTTAAAATCTTTTATAATGTAGGTTATACAGATAAAGCTGTGTGCAATCAAGGATCAGGGATGTGTCATTCCAGCATCCCAGACTGACTTTGCAGGCATCCCCTTGTCTCTCACTACAGCACTCCTGTCTGATTTGAATGTGGTTTTGCCAAGTTCCATTCCCTTCTGAGCAGTGTTGCAGTAAGTGGGTCCTGAGGAAAGCTGTGCATTGATCTGACAGGGATGTTGAGAGATCATTACTGCTGGGCAAGCCAGGGCCTTGTAAAGCTGTCACGTTAACGCAGCAGTGCCTGTAACAAGCTGTGTTCATACGCTCTGCTAGGAAGGGAAAAGCACTTCCTCTCCCAGATGTGAGGTGAGGTGTTCACTCAACCTGGCCTTGTGCTCTCTGCTTTATGGAGTGTAAGAACTTCAACATTGTTGTCTGGTTTATATTTATTTGTGTGCCCTTTGAACTGCTGGCTGTAACAAGACAAAGATAACAGTGTCTAGTAGGGGAGAAATAAAATTTGTAAAGTGATCCACTAGGAAAGGATCAGCAGCATCAGATTGAGGATGCCCAGCTCAGAGGAGTCATCTCTACCTCTCACACCAAGGATAAGTGAACGAGGTACTGGGCACCCCCTGGATAGCCACTGCAGGAGCAACTCTGTGCTGGGGGCTTGTCCCTCATCAGAGGAGAACATCTGTCACTGAGACATGTGCAGATGGTCTCAGAGAGTATTAGATGCCTTGCTCTTCTCACAGAGTAATTTAGCCTATAAAAGAGATCCACACACTTGTTTTTACTAAGCTGCTGTGATGTAGGATTGTGCTGGAGTGGGGTTCTTTTGAATTTTGTTTCAGGAGGTTTTTTATGGAAAAAAAAAAAAAACAACCCGCAAAAAACCCCAAGTGTAATAGCAGATACGAAGAGTTGGAATTTTAAAGTCTCACATCGAATCATTCAATTTTCATCCCTGCCAGAATTTATCTATAAACAAAGGGGATGATTTGTCTGAAGTGGGACTTGATGTGAGATTTTAGATAAAGAGTAGGTGACATAGAGAAATGTTTCATAAGAGATAACTGTTAAAGTATGTTCATAGGTTAAAAAAAGGTAAAGAAGGTGGAGGTAACCTGTTCAGACTATTTTTCAGCCTGTTTGCTTTGCTTAGTATACATGTGGCTTGGTGTGAGTTTTTTTAAAGCATAATTCTGTGTTTCCGAAGACCAATGTAAGGAAAACGGGCAGCAGCAGAGGTTTGAGTGGATCCTGTGGTGATAGGAGTGCTAGAGATAGGATGGTCAGTTCTGGATAAAAACCTTCTTTTTTTTCCAGCTGACTGGCAGCTAGAACTAAACTCCTGATACCACATATTTTAAATTAGTTGGTAGAACAACACCATTGGCAGATTGGTCAGGTAAAATGGCATTGATATACCTAAGGAAACTTCTCTGAGAAAAATTTTAGTTATTCACCTTAACTCCTCATTTTTAGATACAGAATTATCAATGTGGCTTAGAGGGTTTAAACATAGAATCCAAAGGAGAAATTAACCCTCTTTGATGCAAGGGACTGGAGTTTTACCAGTAGCTTGAATTGAAGCTGGGAGTTCCTTGCTGCTCATCTGCTGGGATGAAAGTATGCCTTGACTGCAGAGAAATCGTGGCACTCCTCATTTCCCCTATTCCATCACATGACAGGTAGTCTTAGCCCTCTTGTTTAGCCACTTACTTGGGGCTTAATGCTTATCTATGAACAAAGAAATTGTGCATACAATTTATACATAAATCCTGACTGAGACTACTTTTGGATTTGTGATGTTTAGCCCACTGTGGACAGCTCAGCTGATCCATTGAGGGCACCAAATAACTGTTCTCAGCTGAGAAGATTTCACAGTAAGTCATTCTTCCTTCCATCTCAGTGAAAAATTGTGAGACCTGGGAATTTTGCTCAACACAGAAAATAATTAGAAGCTTCAAGCCAATCAACAGGACTCAGATTCCTTTCTCAGGAGCAGCAGGAGTGTGACTGTATTAACCCATGGTGTTCTGCTGGAACACCAGCATCTTACCCACCCTGATGGTGGAAAAGCAGCCTTGTGTTATATTCAGCCCCCCATCAGTTAAAAAAAAGAGAGGAGGGGGACGAGATAAAAGAGGTACTTGAGCACTTTAAAACAAGTATTGATTTGTAGCCCTGCAGATGCTTGATAGAATGTCAGTTATTATGAAAGTACATGGATTTGATATGAAAGTCCTCCAAAAATATATTGGATAATTTATATATAAAGAGATAAATATTGTTTTAAAACTAGAGCTTGTGAGCATCTATTTTTTACATATTGTTGCAATGAAATGTGAAACACTTGTTCCCGTGTTTTAAGCTGGTCATCTGCATGAATTGCAGTGCTACTGTAAATATTTCTCAACATGGGCAGGTAGATGCTCTTGGAAAAACCAGAACAAATTCTTAAGTTGCCAATATTGTCACAAAGTGTCCCTGCAGAGTGAAGCTGTTTGACAAAGTGTTTCCCTGGTGATTTGGCTGCAGATGAAAATGTCTCCCGCAATAAAATTCTGTGCTCAGGTCTCAGTTCTCTGTGCTCGTCAATCAGCAAATGACATATCAAGGATTTTTCTGCTGGATTAGTTAATATGGTGGGGAAAATATGGGATGCATTGGTACTCCTATTTTTATACACAGGGGTTTCTTTACCCTTAAATATGCATTGTTTTTAAATACAGATATATTTTTGTTGTCTAGAGCTTCCTTTAGTAATCAGTAGTGCTGCAATAGAACTAATATAAAACTATCTTTTATGTACTTAGATTTTCTTGCCTGGAGATAATGCCTACTCTGAAAATCACTGTCAATCATAGGGAAGAGAGAGCTGGGGGAAGAGTGGAGAGATCTGCATTTAGTGACAGCATTTCTACCCTCAGTGCACTGTCCTCTGTGGCTTAATATATTCATGTTTTGCCAATAAATGGCATTCTGTAGAATTTTTGTGGCCCTGTGTGTTGTAAACGCAGTTTTGCTGGGGATAATCATGTTCCACATCTGCTGATACTTTCATAAGGTATCATTAATAGCTTTAGAAAGTTCAATTACATGGCTGCAAAGAAATAAATCACCTTATAGTTTAATTACCTCTAATATAACAGCAGCAAATATCTCCTGGGAAGCTGCCTCCTGTGTTACTAAATGACTGTCAATGATGAAGTTGCTTTCCTTAAAGGATGCTCTGTTAGGGAGATTGTTTCACAGTGTTTTATGCTACATCTGTTTTATGCTGCCACTACTAAATTTTATAAAGGAATTTAAAATATGACAGATGTCAGTAATAACTTTTATTTCATGCCTGCTTTTTAAAGAAAAAAATGGAACTTACTGCAGTTCCCATAAAGATTTATAAGAAATGTTTCATAGGAAATCCTTTTTAAATACTTTTAAAATATTTTTGAATGATTATATGGGATTCAGGAAAATATCTTAAAACACATTTTAGCAGATTCCCTCTGCGCAGTGTGTGCCCATCTGCTGTGAAAAATATTAAGAAGAGACCTTCATTTTCCTACTTAATGTCTCAAAACAGTTACTCCTCTTCAGATCCAACCACCAGAGAGGCAAAAAGGGAGCAC